GCTTCGAGATACAGAGGGTGCGCCTCCGCTTGCCGTCGAGAGACCTCAACCAATTCTAGGGCTCGATGTGCAAAGTATTGAAGGAATGCCCCGGTCCGATTTCCATCCGAGGGTTCTGGAATATATACTGGAGAAACTTCATCACTGGCTTCAGAAACCATCATAAGCAGTTCAGTTGCATCATCTTCAGACCATTTTGCATAAAACTCTGGGTAATAGGTCATCACAGTTACTAAAATCTCGTCGCGAAGCAGAAGATCAAGTTTGAGCTTCTTCTTCATAGCAAACTGCAATAGCGTCTGAATGTGCTTAATGGCCACCTCCGGAAAATGTGTCTTGCGTCCGAGCTTGATGATGATATTTCTTACTGGGTCCGCCATTGGAGAAATTTTTGTGAGAGGAGAGAAATACAATACTGAGAGCAGATATGCTGAGAGAGAAAGGGTTTGAGTGCTGAGATGCTTGAAAGCCTGTTCTCTTCTTAGCCCGGTATCAAATAGACTAAAGGATGAAGAACCCTAATCAATGCGGCTTGTCAAATATCATGCAGACGCGATTGATTGACACAACGGTACAACTTCTTTTTAGGAAGGAAGCGGAACCCAAGGACATTTAAATTTTGAAAAAAGATTAAAATCTTTTTGAGATATCATTAAGGCCAAAATAACACCACTTAACAAAAATAGAGAGGAGTCTTCAAAAAGTCAAATCGTAATACTGACCCGTGTACACCACTCCTCTCTGATTGACCAACTGCTTTAATTAGTCAATTCTACAAATTCCGAGAGCAGACCTGAGAATTTCAAAACGATTGGCGTCCAGTGGCTTAGTTATAATATCTGCCAGTTGTTTGTCAGTTTGAATGTATTTCAATTCAATTTCCTTGGATTCAACCAAGTCTCTGATGTAATGATGCCTGATGTCAATATGCTTGTTCTGGAATGTTGAACTGGATTCTTGGAAATATTAATAGCACTGACATTGTAACAATAGAGTGTCATTATACCTTGAGTGAGACCATAATCTAGGAACATCTGTTTCATCCAAACCAACTGAGTACAACATCCTCCTGCAGCTATGTATTCTGCCTTTGCAGTGCTTAGTGAAATTGAATTCTATTTCTTGCGTAGCCATGATACTAAGTTTTTACCAACAAAGAAACATCCCCCGGAAGTACTCTTTCGGTCATCAATATTTCCTGCCCAATCAGCATCACAGTAGGCAACCAGACTTAGTTCACTGTCCTTGGAGTACCAGAGACCATACTGCATCGTTCCTTTAACATATTTCAGAATGCGTTTTGCAGCTATCAAGTGTGATTCCTTTGGGTCAGATTGATACCTTGCACAGATTCCAACACTGAACATTATGTCTGGTCGACTGGCTGTTAGATACAACACACTCCCTATCAAGCTGCGATAAACTGTGTTATCCACTGATACACCAGTTTCATCTTTCGATACTTTTGTGGAGGTGGAGATTGGTGTCCTGGATGATTTACAAGATTCCAGATCAAACTTTTTAACTAGATTCTTAGCATACTTCTCTTGTGAAATAAAGTATCCTTCAGAACTTTGCTTGACCTGTAGACCTAGGAAGTATGTCAGTTGACCAACCATGGACATTTCAAACTCTTCCTTCATCAATTTTACTAACTCGTCAGTGTATTTCTGTAAGGTTTATCCAAACACGATGTCATCAACATAGATTTGGGCAATGGTTACATGACTTCCAGTAGTTTTTACGAACAGGGTTTTGTCAACACTTCCTCGTTTATACCCATGCTGGAGCAGATACTGTGTCAGTCGTTCATACCATGCCCGTGGGGCTTGTTTGAGACCATAGAGAGCTTTTCGAAGCTTATAGACATATGAGGGATGATCTCGATCTTCGAAACCTTTAGGTTGAGCCACATAAATATCTTCATGGAGATAGCCATTCAGAAATGCTGTTTTGACATCCATCCGAAACAAAGTGAATACCAAAATGCATGCGACAGCCAACAAAATCCTAATTGACTCGAGTCTAGCTACAGGAGCGAAAGTCTCATCATAGTCAATTCCTTCAATCTGAGTATACCCTTGAGCCACTAACTGATCTTTGTTCCTTGCTATATTCCCTGCTTCATCAGTTTTATTTTTAAAGATCTACTTCGTTCCAATTACGTTAACACCATCAGGTCTTGAAACTATATCCCAGACATGATTCCTCTCAAACTGATGTAGCTCCTCCTGCATTGCCTTGATCCATAGATCATCCTGTAAGGCTTCTTTAACATTTCTAGGTTCTATCTTTGAGGTATAACAAGCAGACCCAGATATTTCTGTCAAATTATTTCTTATTCTGCTCCTGGTCTTCATCCAATCAGATGGATCTCCAATAATGTTATTTGATTGATGGTTTTTCTAAGTTCTGGTGGGTTTGTCTTTACCTGTATCATTTATGAGGTTTGTCTCTTGATCCGAACTTTCTTGATCTTCATCTGACGATTCCTGTGGTTTGGGCTGACTGTTGCTATTAGTGGCAATTGGATCACTGAGAGGAAGTTCTGTTACTGAATCTGTCACTGTTGTGTCTACTGACTCTTCTGGACTGTCATCTATAACCACATTTATTGACTCCATCACAGATTGAGTCCTCTTGTTGTAGACTCTGTAGGCACGACTGTTTGGAGAGTATCCAAGGAAGATGCTCTCATCACTCTTTGGTTCGAACTTCCCTCTTTGTTCTCTATCAGCTAGCACAAAACACTTTGTCCCAAACACATGAAAATACTTCAGATTTGGCTTCTTACCCTTCCAGATCTCATATGGTGTTTTGGTTGTTCCTGGTCTAAGATAGACCCTATTTATGGTATGACAGGCTGTGTGTACTACTTCAGCCCAGAAGCGTTGCGGCAGATGCGAGGCATGTAGCATAACTCTAGCCATTTCTTGTAAAGTTCGATTTTTTCTTTCTACTACTCCATTCTGTTGAGCAGTTCTAGGGGCTGAGAACTCATGTGATATACCGTGCTCGGAGCAGAAGTCTGAATTTAGTGAGTTCTCAAATTCCTTTCCATGATCGCTCCTCAATCTCTGAACTTTTATTATAGACTCATTCTTTTCCTTCTGAACTTTTATACACAGAGTTTTAAAAGCCTTGAAAGCTTCTGTCTTTTCTCTCAGAAAGTATATCCAGCTGTATTGAGAGAAATCATCTACACACACAAATATGTATTTCTTTCCCCCAATGCTTTCAGTTTGTGTTGGCCCCATGAGGTCTATGTGGACAAGATCTAGGCACTTCTCAGTGGTGATGCCTCTTACTGCTTTGTGTGGAGTTCTGATTTGTTTCCCAATAGCACATGCACTACAGATTTTGTCCGGATCTATTCTGATCTTAGGTACACCCTTCACTGCTTCCAGTTTTATCAACTTATCCATATCTCTGAAGTTTACGTGACCCAGTCGTCTATGCCAGAGTTTTGATTCATCAGATTTGGATAAGTGACAAGTAGTTACATTTTCCAAGACGTAACAATTGTATGAGGACCGGGTTCCTTCCATGACTAGTTGATTTGCTTTGTCACTAACTCTGCAGCAGTTACGATCGAAGCACACATTCCAATTTTGATCACACAACTGACTGATGCTAATAAGATTCGCTTTCAACCCACTGACAAGCAGGACTTCTTCTAATTAAGTTAAACCTGGTACATTTAGGACACCTTTCCCAACTATTCTCCCTGATGGAATAATCACGGAGCCGGAGCGGAGCAACACAGTACAAGCCGGGTCAGACCCGGAGCAGGACGAACCACCCCGGGGTCGATCAACCACCCCGGGGTCGGCCCACCAGAGCTCGGCCGAGCCCATGCTTGGCCCATTGGACGAGCTCCGTGCTCGGCCAATGGCCGGGTCCTCGCGTGGAGCGAGTCCCGCGGCGCGGGCCGCGGCTCCTCCCGCGGGCCCGGGGCCCGTAGTAGTCAGGGGTATATAAACACCCCCCGGTGTCCTAAGGAGACATCTCATACTTTTCCTACAGCTTTTGTCTCGTTATTACACGTCCCGAACATCTGTAATAGCATTTTATGTCCAATTAATACAATCTTTACCGTTTTATTATCCATTTCTTATATTCATACATATACACGGGTTGTATAATCCGGACCTCCGGGTTCATATAATCCATCATTGGTGCCCTTGTTGAGAGCGGCTGTACAAGCTTAAGCGCTCTCCCTATTATCCTTCATTGACAGCAATGGCTAGATCTGGGTCGAAAACCCACAACTCGCAGGGCTCGCGCAACCCACGTGACCTCGCCCTCGTTAGCCACCCCAACGGGACCGTGGCAAGCCGACAGGCCATGTCCGAGGGGGCCGGGGAGGACCTCCGCAATCAGATCAATGGGAGTCGGCCGGGCGCTGCGGAGGACCTCCGGGGTCGTCTCACCAACAATCGCCCTCTCGGTGGGACAGCGCTACCCGCGCCACCGCAGGTCCCGACCTCCCAACAAGACGCCGCCATATTGGAGCAAGCGGCGCTCAACCGCGTCGCGGCGGGGTTGCGCCGGGGGAACACAGCACCCCCACCTCCGCCCCCTCCGAGGGTGCGTAGTGACCCCAGCACTCGTGCGCCCCGGGAACCCACAGTGCTAGCTGAAGGGGAAATCAATTCACCTCGACCTTCTGAGCCGCGTGACGGGGCGGAAGCCACCCGATGTCGACGCGCGCAGCGAGAGGAAAGGTGGACTAGGCCGGCGCGGACCACCTCCGCGCTCGGGCGCTTGGGCCCACGTGTACCAGCACGAGACCGCCTGGGGCCGGAGCCGGCCACACACGTCAGGCAGGAGGAGTCATCGTGCTCACGGAGATCCCGGAGCCACGAACCCCGTGTCCCAAGGCCGCGGGAGCCGATCCCACCGGTGGAACGCTCGGGGAGACCAGAGGCCAACCTCCGAGCACCCAGCGTGAAGAGATGGAATAGTTGCGTCGACAGATCCGCGAGTTGCAGCGTAAGATGGAGGCGCGCGACGAGTCACCAGAGCCCCGGGACGCCTTGGCCACACCCTTCACGGGGGCCATAATGGCAGAGCCCCTACCTCGGGACTTCCGATTCCCGACCATCAAACCTTACACGGGGGCGACGGACCCGCGGGACCACCTCAACCGGTACAAGGCAGTCATGATGATGACAGGCGTTAGTGACGTCATCATGTGTCGCGGTTTCTGCACGACTCTGGATGGGCAGGCCCAGGATTGGTTCGGGTCCCTCCCGGAGGACTCCATCCCCACTTTTGCGGTCCTGACCAAGAATTTTATGTCGCACTTCGCGGGCAGCATCCAACGGCGGAAGCAGTTCGCCGACCTATGTTACCTGAAGCAAGATAAGTCGGAGTCTTTGGCGGAGTACCTGAGTAAGTGGAAGAAGGAAGCTATGGGGGTGACAAATTTTGACGAAAGGTCCGCCATCCCGTTTTTCACCAACAACCTCAGGTCGGGTCCTTTGCACAGTGACCTTGTTCGAAACGAGCCAAAAACGTATACAGAATTGATGGACCGTGCCTCGCGATACGCCAACACGGAGGCAGCAGAGAAGAGGAAGAAAGAGGAGGAGGAAGGCCGCGGGAGAGGCGACGGGGCACCTCAACCTCAAGAGGACCGCCGCCCTCCCCGGTCACGCCGTGATTGGGGTCCCCGACTAGCCCCGTTGCGACACCTGACCCCGTTGACGCAACCCGTAAGCGCCATCCTAGACCACGCAGAGGACATGGGCATCGTGTCGTTCCCCGAGGAGTGCTTGAAGATCTCCCCCAAGGCCGACCCAAAGAAGTACTGCCGCTTCCATCGGCAACGCGGGCACGACACCGACGAATGTATGGTCCTCAAGAGGCAGATCGAGGAGCTCATACAACGAGGGTACCTGGGGCAGTACGTGAAGAGGTCCGGGCAGGACCACGCTAAGGGCCCCGACAACGCCCGGAAGAAGAAGGACGGCGCCGGGCCCTCTACCTCTGCCCCACGCAAGAGAGAGCTCGGCCAACTCACGGAGGACGAGGAGACCGAGCTGGACAGCCCGCCAAAGAAGAAGGTCATCCATGTCATCTTTGGCGGCCCGGAGGGAGGAGACACGCCCGCTGAGAGGAAGAAGTGGGCTCGGAGCCTGTACGTAGGGGAGGTCGTCCGAGCACCCCATGTGAAGAGGACACGCAGGGAGCCCATAACGTTCACCGACGACGACTTCTCGGATGGTCCCCCACCCCACCGGGACGCATTGGTAATCAGCTTAGAGCTCAAAGACATCAATGTCCACCGGGTACTGGTGGATACGGGGAGCTCCATGAACGTCATGTACTATGACACCTTCATGCAGCTCGGGCTATCCAGGAAGCAGCTTTCCCAGGTTCGGACCCCACTATCCGGCTTCACCGGGGACTCCATTGAGACGGAGGGAGCCATCACCCTCAAGGCACAGATCGGCACCCCACCGCACGTCAAGACATGGGAGGTAGAGTTCGTGGTGGTGAAGATCAGCTGCGCCCACAACATCATCCTCGGCAGACCTGCCTTGGAAGACCTCAGGTGTGTCATCTCTATGGAGCACCTCTGCCTCAAGTTTCCTACCCCCACTGGAGTGGGCATCGCGCGAGGGGACCAGAAGGTCAGTCGAAGCTGTTACTTGAAGGCCTGTCACCAAATAACGAGGAAGGACCTCCAGGTGCACACAGTAACCGAGAGGGCCCTCCGGGAAGAGGAGAAGCGGCCCCGCGCCGAACCCGTGGTGGAGACGGAAGAGGTCATCCTGGACCTCAGCCGACCTGACAGGATGGTGAAGGTGGGCACCGGCCTCCCAGCTGACCTCCGAGGTCGGATTGTCGAGGTCATCCGCAGCTACAAAGACGTGTTCGCCTGGGGTCCCGAAGACATGCCAGGCCTCAGCCGGGAGGTCATCACGCACAAACTGGCGGTGGACCCCAAAGCCAAACCTGTCCAACAAAGGAAGCGCTACCTCGCCGCAGATAGACGGGAGTTTGTGAAGAAGGAGGTTGACACCCTCCTCGAGATCGGGCACATCAGGGAGGTCACATACCCGGCATGGCTCGCGAACGTAGTCCTCGCACCTAAACCACCTACGTGGAGGATGTGTGTGGACTACACGGACCTCAACAAGGCATGCCCCATGGACCCCTTTCCACTACCCAACATAGACCAGCTGGTGGACGAAACAGCAGGATGCGCACTCATGAGCTTCCTAGACGCCTTCCAGGGGTACCACCAAATTTTCATTCATGAGGAAGACGAAGAAAAAACGGCATTCACCACCCCCGAAGGGGTCTTTTGCTATCGGGTCATGGCGTTCGGGCTCAAGAACTCGGGAGCCACGTACACAAGAATGGTGGCCAAGGTGTTCAAGAAGGTCCTCCGCCGGAACTTACAGGCCTATGTGGACGACATGATTGTGAAAAGCACGGAGGCTGACCTACACACAGCCGACTTGACCGAGGTATTTTCCATCATGAGACATTTTGATTTACGTTTGAACCCCAAGAAATGCACTTTCGGGGTACACAGAGGGAAATTCTTGGGGTACATGGTCTCAAAGAGGGGTATTGAACCCAACCCCGAAAAAGTCAAGGCCATCCTGGAGATGGAACCTCCGAGGTCCCTCCGCGAGGTCCAGCGCCTCAATAGTCGGCTGGCGGCTCTCGATCGATTCCTCTCAAGGTCGGCCGAAAGGTCCTTGCCGTTTTTCGGGGTCCTCAAGAAGAACCAGGGGTTCGAGTGGTCAGACGAATGCCAGAAAGCCTTTGAGGACCTCAAGACGTACCTCATGACGCAACCCCCCCTAGCCAAACCGGAGAAAGGGGAGGTCTTGTACCTGTACTTGGGCATCTCGCAGGCCGCGATCAGCTCCGTACTGGTCCGGGATGATGCGGGAACCCAACGCCCGGTGTACTACGTGAGCAGAGCCCTCCGAGGCGCCGAGCTCAGGTACTCACCCACGGAGAAAGCAATCTTCGTCGTGGACGCCACAGCCAAGAAGCTCGGGCATTACTTCCAAGCACACCCCGTACGGGTCCTCACCAACCAACCCCTCGAGGCAGTATTGAGGGCCTCAGGGTCGGCAAGCAGGTTGGTCAAGTGGTCCATGCGGTTGAGCCAATATGATGTCCAGTTCAAGCCCCAACCGGCAATCAAGGGGCAGGCGCTCGCCGACTTCATAGTCGAGTGCACCGCTCGCGAGGCCGCCGAACTAGCCCAGAGCGATGAGGAGGATTGGTGGACCCTGTCCACGGATGGCTCGTCCGGCCCCAAAGGGTGTGGCGGAGGGGTAGTACTCGTAACCCAGGAAGGGTTCCGGGCCTACTATGCCCTTCGCTTCCACTTCAAGCTGTCTAACAATGAGGCTGAATACGAGGCACTACTGGGTGGCCTCAGGCTGGCATTGGGTATGAGGGCCTCCAAAATAAGGGTGCGGTGCGACTCCCGACTGGTGGTCGGACAGGTGAACGGTGAATTCGAGGCCAACGAGGAGAGAATGAGGAGATACCGCGACGTGGTGCTACAGGTCCTCGGTCAATTGACCCTCTACGAAATTTTGCAGGTACCCCGAAGTCAAAACGGGGACACGGATTTGCTCTCCAAGCTCGGCCTCGGCACCCCGGAGCATGTCTCTAAGATAGCACGGATTGAAGACCTCCAGAGGTCCAGCCTGGAGGCCTACCCCGTCCTCCCCATACAGACACGGTCCCCATGCTGGTTGGACCACCTGATCGAGTATAAGAGAACGGGTACCCTACCAGCAGACGAGTTAGCCGCCAAGGCGGTCAAGAGGAGATCACCAACATACGTCCTCCTTGGGGACACCCTTTACAAAAGGTCCTAGAATGGTGCCCTCCTCCGACGCCTATACCCGGACGAAGCCAAGTCCGTTAAGGAGGAGATACACGAAGGCACCTGCGCTGCACACCAAGGAGCCTTCGCCATGGCGAGGAGGGCCCTATTGCAAGGGTACTTTTGGCCAAGCATGGCCAAGGAATGTGCAGAGTACGCCCGGGGGTGCCCGACTTGCCAGCACTTTCACGCGGAGCTGGGACGGCCGGCGACCAGCTACACGCCAATCAGCACGGTAATCCCGTTTTCACGTTGGGGGATCGACATCGTCGGGGCCCTACCCATGGGGTCCGTAAAGAGGAAGTACATAATAGTCGCCATAGACTATTTCACAAAATGGGTGGAGGCGGAACCCCTCGCCACTATCACAAACACCCGGTGCACGGAGTTCATACGGAGGAACATTTTATACCGTTTTGGGGTCCCCATGCAGATCATTTCCGACAATGGGCGCCAATTCGAAAGTAAGGAATTTAAGGCATTCTGCGACCAATGGTACATAAAACATACCCGCGTGGCGGTGGCGTACCCACAAGCGAATGGGCAGGTGGAGAATGCCAACAGAACTATAGTCGACGGCATCAAGAAGAACCTAGACGCAGCTGGAGGAACATGGGTAGAGGAGTTGGACACCGTCCTATGGGCATACCGCACCACCCCAAGAAGGGCCACCGGGGAGACACCGTTCGCGCTGGCATACGGGTTCGAAGCACGGGCTCCCACTGAAGCTGTGATACCATCCTATCGAGTCGCAGTGTACGACCCCGACCTCAACGAACAACACCACGCCGCCGACCTCCACCTCATCGACGACAGAAGGGAGGAGGCCATGGTCCACGCAGAAAATTACCAGCGCCAGACAAAAGCTTACCATGACAGCCGAGTCCGACCCCGTTACTTCCAGGTTGGTGACTACGTCCTCCGAAAGAGGGAGGCAAGCTGACCCCAAGATGGAGGCAAATTTGCAAACAAATGGGAGGGACCGTATGTTATTGAGGTCATAGTACGACCGGGCAGTTACAAGCTAAGGACCACATCGGGCAAGGTGGTAGACAGGGTTTGGAACTCAGAGCACTTGTTGAAGTTCTACCAGTAGACATTCATTTGTATGGCCTGTCCCCCTTCCCAATAAAAGGCCAGGTTCCCCACAATAATGTTTGTTTACATTCGCAATGGAATAAGAAGTTTTTTTTAACAAGTTACCCTGTCCCGAATGGCGGACAAGCGAAGGCACCCCAGGGCCGACCTACCCGAGGTCGGCCGGCACGGGGTCGGCCAGACCTGGGGGTCGGCCGGCACGAGGTCAGCCAGACCTGGAGGTCGGTGACCACATCGGATATAACACACGCCCTAGGGGTGGTACGAGGTCCGCCCTCGCCTACCGCCGAACGGAAGGATTCGGGACGCGAGTCGTTGGACTACATCCAAAGAATCGCTAAGGCGTCTTAGGGGTGACATGAGGTCCGACCTCACCTGTCGCCGAACGGGCGCAACGCAACCTCAAACGCCCTAGGGGTGGTACGAGGTTCGCCCTCGCCTACCGCCGAATGGAAGGATTCGGGACGCGAGTCGTTGGACTCCATCCCAAGAATCGCTAAGGCGTCCTAGGGGCGACATGAGGTCCGACCTCACCTGTCGCCGGACGAGTACAACGCAACCTCAAACGCCCTAGGGGTGGTACGAGGTCCGCCTTGCTTACCGCCCAACGGAAGGATTCTGGACGCGAGTCGTTGGACTCCATCCCAAGAATCGCTAAGGAGTCCTAGGGGCGACATGAGGTCCGACCTCACCTGTCACCGGATGGGCGCAACGCAACCCCAGCGCCCCAGAGGTGGTACGAGGTCTAACCTCGCTCGACGCCAGACGAACAACCCACCAGCAGACCCCGAGGGGTCGGCTGGCCGACCCCGGGCTAGCTGACACCGCGATGGCGGGTAGTTAAACTCCCGCGGTACCAGAGTTCATTAGTCCCAAGTGGGGACGAGGAGCAATCAAGATGAATACACAAGTAAAACAGACAAAGCATAAGACGAAATAGAAGAGCAGTATCATAGCAAGCAACGTCATAACCCAGCCAATAAGTCCAAAACAAGCAAAATAAACAAAAGAAGCATAGGGGTGGCAACCCAAGCAACAAAGTAACACCAGTCTAAGCGAAATAACAACGAAGTAACGCCAGTCTAAGCAAAATAGAAAGATAGTCTATGCAGCAACTGAATAGAGATGAGGGGCCGCCAACATGGAAGGACGTCAGGGCTGCGTGGCCTCGCGGGTGCCGTCATCATCACCCAAGGCAGCCTGAGTCTCCGCCTCGGGGGCACCCACGCCGGCAAAGCGAAGAAGGTCGGCTGCGAAGTCCGCACTCGACGAGCGGTCGGCCGCCGAGTCCAACGGTGGACGCTCGCCGTCCTCACCCACAGCCACGTCCATGGGATCACCTGGCTCCTCCTCCCACTCCTCGGGTAGGCCCCATGCAATGGGGTCAAAGGACGCGTCTCTGGCGCGAAGGGCTGCATAGATCTTGCTCTGCATGGAGGACTCCCCCGCATCGAACAACTCCATCCCGTGCCGACCCAAACACTCATTCCCCGCGGGGAAGCTCGTAAGATGAGTCAGGGTCTCCTGGGGGTGCGCAGAGATGTAGGCCTGGGTATCCTGGATGAAGGCCTGTGAGTCCTTGTAAGCTGAAACAGCCACCCTCGCAGCCTCTTTCAGGGCAACCTGATGCGCATTACGCTCCCGCGACCGGCTGTCAATCAACGCGGCGTGCTGATCCTCTAGCGCGGCGAGTCTATCACTCACGACCTGGCGAGCCCGCGTCTCGGTCTCCAGCTGCTCGCGGACGCTCCCTATGGCTCTCTCCAGGGTCATGGCACGAACAACCGTCTGTACGAGGACAAGCATGAGTAGAAGACAAGATAACAAAACAAGGAAACATAAGCGTCATTCAACAAAAAGGGAGAACATACCTCAAACAAAGGGCGGATGAAGGTGTGGTCCTCGTGCAGGGCCATATCGCGCGGCTGGATGAGGCTGCGCATAAAGGCCTCCGGGGGGACATCCCCGCTGAGCAGCGAGGCTGCGGGCGGGAAGTGAACGGACCAGTCAGTCGAGGCGTCCTGATGAGGCGTCGCGGGCATCGGAGATCGAAGGGTGGAATCGGCCGGGGGACCGTCCGGCACGCGGTCTACGTCAGAGGTAGACCTCGCCTCGCGGCGGCGTGATACCCGTGAGAGAGCCTGGACGTCTGAGGTAGCATGGCTGGTCACGCCGGTCTTGCGGCGCTTCGGGTCCTCGCCACCACGGTTCCTCAAACTCTCCATGAGTGACGCAAGGGCAGCGCGGCGGGGAGCCATACCTAAACACCAAGACAAGCTAATGAGCACTTCAAACAAGAAAGCATAAGCAAGTAAGCACGTCGACGAGGTGACAGACCAGAGCTGGCGGGAGGAGGTGTCGAAGGGTCGGCCCGTATCTCTATAATGTCGTTCTCCGAATCGTCACTAGTAGACTCCTCCTCGGTCTCCCCCGCAGAGTCGGGAGGAGGGGCAGGAGTGCCACGAGGAGGCAAAGGAGGGGGGTCGCGAGAAAAACCGCGCTGACCAAGGACGCGTGGTCAACAAGAGCCTCAGAGTCTAGCATGTCAGCCGTACCGCCCAAAAAATCCCAGATCAAAACCTCGAGCGCCGGGGTGCACCGCGGGCTACGAAACTTACGGAAATAGCCATCCCACGGCACCGCAAAGGGGAGCGCCGCGCCAGCAGAGACAAACACGAATTTGGGCTTCCACCCCTTGTTGAAGTCCCGCACGCGATCCTTAATCCCCGTGCCCGGCCGAGCCGCGAACGCCATGAACCCCTTGCTCTCCTTAGACGAAGAGCTGGTCGCAGTGAAGAATGAGTGGAAAAGCTCTAGGGTGGGGTGAATATCCACCTCGACGCATCGGATGATAAAAGCCGCCACCGCCCGGTGGGAGTTGGGGACTAGCTGACCCACAGACACGCGATGGTAGTTTAAGAGCTCGACGAGGAAGGGGTGAAGAGGGAAGGCTAAGCCCATAAGGAGGGATGTAACATGGACCCAGAAGAAGTTGGGGCCAGGGGGCTCTAGTATGGTTGTCCCGGGAGGCGGAACATGGACCTCGGCCGACGGGCCAACTAAGGCCCTCGCCACGGCAATATCGTGACCCGTCAAAGAAGACCCGAACCCCCGAGGGATGGCAGAGTCTAGTACGGTGTATTAGCTCAAAGGAAAAGGGTTCGGGAGTGGCGTGGGAGTCAACAGGTAGGGAGGATGTGTCGCTAGCGGATCTATATACGGGTACTCGAGATAAAAATGGTCAATCTCCCCCTCTGGAGAAGGAAACCGGTCTAAATCAATAGACTCGTCGTCGCTAGGCGGGAGGTCCGCGTAGTCAACAGAGTCTAAGACGGACCATTAATGGATGACCAAAGGTAGGTCCACTGGGTGCGTGGCCTCGACAAAAGGCACTATGCTCATAAAAGATAGCTACGGAACTCTAAAATGGGGGTTTGCACGAGACTCACCCGACTCAAGCAAGGAAGGGGTGACGGAGGAGGCGCGGGGGCTCGGGGTCGGCGTCGGGCGGTGGGGTCGGCCGGCGTTGGGGGGGTCGGCCTCGGCAGGGGGCTGGGGTCGGCCGGGGTACTGGTCGGTGGCAGGCGGCGAACGGCGGTCGGCGGTGGTCGGCGGCGGTCGGCGGCAGGGTCGGCCGGAAAGTGGAGAGAGGAGAGGGAGAGAAATTTTCAGATTTGTGGGGCTTTGTGTGTGTGTGGGGGATGGGAGGAAAGCTACTTTATATAGGAGAGAGAAAAAAAAAAAAAAAAAAAAAAAAAAAAAAAAAAGGGGGGAGGGGGAAGAGGAGATATTTTTTGGGAAAAAGGGGGGAAATTTTGGGGAGAGGGAAAAGTAAAATGTGGGGAAGGTGAGGAGGTTTGAAGAGATGGAAGGGATATTTAAAGGGGGAGTGGA